TGATTGTCATTTCATTCACGAAAAGATACCACAAGGTTTGATCACCACTAAATATATGAATATCGGAGAAAAACTAGGATATATCTTCACAAAGACTCTCAATGAAATCTGAATCAATTATCTATGTAACAAGTTGGGGACGATTAATATCTATAATCCAACATGAGGAGTGTTACATATTTGTTATCAATTCTTACGCAGATTCTTAATTTATATTATATTAAATATAATATATTATGTTATGTAGTTTAACAATATTAGTTATATATATACCCATCTCTAATAATGAATAAAATAAAAGTGAAATACATGCCCTATTGATTTATACAGTTTTAACCAAGGATAACAAAGATATAAATATTTTAATAATTTGATATATTACCAAATAACTTTTGATATGGGAATTGATCGTCTAAAACTTAAGTCGAAAGTCTATTTATGAAGTAAGTGGCTTGGTGACAGACAAATGATAAGGAAGAAAATTATAGAGATACTTGATGAAGAATTATTTTGGTTGTTTCAATTATGTGATGATGTCTACATTCAGCCAAGGCTACTAGTTGTGGTGTGTATGGAAGCGAAACAAGATATGCATTGCCATTCTTTTGAAGAAAGGATTTTAGACCTTCAAACTCACCACCACCATCAATGTAAAATGAAAATATTTTTGTTTGAAAATAGATTTTAATAGGAGGTTTAAATATTGAAAGAATTGATTGAATCTCATTTTTTTTATTGAAGCATATATAAGTCAAGTGTATCTAGTAAATTGATCAACAAAAGTTACGCAATATAGTGTTTATCAATTAATAAAACTGACGAATGACCCCGTATATCATTCTAAATAAATTGAAGCGATTTTTTCCTTAACAAAGGATCGTCGATGGCTTTTATTTGAAGCAAAAAAAATACAATAATTAAAATTTGTCGAAGATGAAAATGGAATTAATAACTTTTGAAATATTATTTGAAGAACTCTTTTATTATAGTGTCATAATTTCCTATGCCATAGATGTTGAGATTCTTCCTTAGTAATGTAGTAAGAGTGGTGGCTCGATTTGTATAGACGACTCTCGGAAGTTCACTCACACAATCATTGCTTATTTTGGTCGCATACCAACAATGCTCATGTGAGTAGATCCTTAACATGAAAAATAAGGAGAGAAAATTCAATGTTAGATTATCTTGATAGAACTTGAAAACATAGATAAGATTATGTTTCGTGTCAAGAGCACGCAAATTATGAGAGCTGAAATTTTTTATTTGATGCAATTAGATCAATTAAACTCGTAGAAGAAATGAGAATTTTGTTACCATTACCCATTGTAATTTCATATGTACATGTGTAGTCCTGTGTATGTTGAATATTATCAGCATCGGTTGTGACATGTTAAAATGTTCAATGTGCAATTGAATTGAGCTTTTAGATGGTTGTGAGAGCATGTGCGACAAACATTAGTCGTGTGACCATGATGACTACAAAATTGACAAACCACATGGTTGCATTGTGTATTGTCAAGTTGGTGTTGTTGCATGTATTATTGCATGGTTTGATAAGGATCCTTGAACAATGGTAACAGTAATAGGAGTGGAGAACTTTTTGTTTTCTGTGTAAGATGAAGTTCCTTGTTGATGAGTTTATCATAAAGTTCATCGTATGAGATTGGAGAGTCACAAACCTAACTAACAGCTAATATAGAATAAGACTTAAGTCTTAGGCCATTGAGTATTTTAACTATTATTAGGGTTATCCGCGGTGGTAAGTTCATCTGTCATGTTCTTGATGTCTCGTAGATATTCTGCTATGGTACTAAAAATTTTTGTGATTGAGGCTAAAGTATTTTTCAAACTACAGATTCTTGTGTCAGATTTATTCGCTTGCAGAGTGTGCAGCGTATCCTAAGCTTCCATTGAGGTGGGTGTTTTTGTGATTGTAAAGGTGATAGTTTGATCAAGACATTAAGAATTAATTGATCTTGTCGAAATCAGAATTTATACTTTAGATTGATGATTTGAATATTGTCAATAGTGATGGTCCTCGGGAAACAATTTAAATAGGGGTAGAGATTAGGGATGCACACGGGACCCGAACCTAACGGGTTTCAATCCGACTCGATTGAATCAAATTTTTTTAAAAAAATTTCATGATAGGGTCGGGTCAGGTCGAGTTTGGGTTTAGGATGAAAAATACTTGACTTGAAAAAAATTATAATTTTACCTTATATATTTAGGGATAATTGCAATAATATTTGACTATATATTATATTTTTCAATTAAATCCCTATTTATTGAATAGAATTAATATGTTTTAATAAATATAGTATTTCTAGTCGGGTCGGGCAGGTTCGAAATTTATCTCAAAAAGGCGGATTAGGTTCGGGTCGGGTGGAAATGTATATTTTTCGAGTCAGATTCAATTCGGGTGGACGATGTATAATTTTCGGGTGGGTTTTCGATCCGCCTGACCCATCCCATGCCCATCCCTACTAGAGATCATGGCCAAATATGAGGGATTCATGTCACACCCAGGGGCTAAAATTTTATTAGTTTTAAAGTATCAAATTAAAGTAATAACAAGGGAAAAGTTGGGGACCAAGTTGTAATTTTTAAAAGTTACAACTCTGTTTTGGAACTTATGAGAAGTTTAGGAACTTAACCTTGAATTTTACTAATTTTCTAGTAAGAGAAAAATAAACCCCCTCCCCAGTCGAGCAAGCAAATCCCCAAATTAAAAAATTTTCAATCCTTAACCCACCTGTCGGCCTCATCGAACTCTCACCGTCCGGCCATCATTGGAGCGCATCGCCACATCATTCCAGCTCACCGACGATCGGTGACCTTAGCCCAAGCACCCCTGCAGCGTAAATCGACGTCAACCTGCGCCAATCGAAGCCGTAAAGTCCCGTCGAAAATCCCCGCCGCCGCCGCGAATTTCGCTAATTTATGACCGATCTGGTGGTCGTTCCACCTCACCGCCTCTAGCACGGTATTCCCCAGGCAATTCTAACCAGAACCCAACCAGAGCCATCGTCGATTATTGTGCCATCGTCATCCATCGTTGGGAGGGTAAGTTCAAGCGTTTTTCGGTTAAAATGGCATAGTTTTGGTTGATTTTTGAGTTGGTTTGGATTGATAATGGTGTATAGCTACTCGTGGACTACTTTGCCGACCAATCAGACCTCCGTCGTCGCCACACGCGCCGATAATGCGCGTGGGCTTCTTCCCCTGTCCTGAAAGCTTCTGGATCGGCTCGAATCGCTTGCCCAACTCGCCTGATCCGACCCGACCCGCCTGGTCTGGTCCAATCATTGAGTCAACTTAACTGGGTCAACACGTTGACTTTGACCGAGTCAACTGGTTGACAGTTGACTTTGATCGGTCTAACCGTTGACCGTTGACTTTGACCGAAAAGTTAAATTTTTCGAAAAACCCTATTTATGATTTTCAACGTCCTAATCCCGAATCTGAAGTCCGTTTTTGCCAAGTTCGTACATGGTAAGTCGTTTTTCAATGTTTTATCTTCTGATTCAAGTTGGTTTCTCAACTAAGTTCAGTTTCTGACGTAAATTCGTTTGCTTTGTATCCGAGAAATTATTAGACGTTGGATTCAAGTTCGAGGGCGATCGAATGGAGTTTAAATGGTCGATCAATATGTCACGAAAATTGAGGTAATACTTTACTATCTTTTGTATGTTTTTCGGAACTCAATGATAAATGGTAAATTAATGAATGAAAATGATTGATCCATTAGGTGTAATTAACTGTCTTTGGACTCAGATAGAAATTGGATTAAAGACGGAATATTGTATAAGACTCTAACGGCTCGAAAAAGAAATTGGTAGACTAATTGAAAACAAATCTCAGTTCAATGATTCATTCAATATCAGAACGCATAAATTCTGATTAATCTCGTTAGAGATTAAATGTTGGAAATATTTTGATAAGAAATTACTAAAAATAGCACTATGGTGTAAAATTATGAAAATGCCCTTATACTGTAAAAGGACCAAGACATCCCCTGGTGAAAATAATATCCAGTGATCAAATGAACAAAGTACTATGAATTATAAAGGAACTAGAATGCTTCCAAGCCTAAGTTATCAAAAGTAATGCCACTGACAGAATTGAATGAAATGACGATAATACCCTTAAAGTGTAAAAAGGAATATGGATGACTATGATAATGGAGACGACCTGAGAACTTATATTATGATTCATTGGAATATTGGAATCACCGATTAAACTCCTGATTTATTTGGAATGCCCATGAAATGTAATATGATTCAAAGCACGTCCAAACCGTGGAATAACTAATATCCTCAGCTCTGAAATGAACAAATCAACCTCGAATACTAAAATAATTATATTATATGACCAAGTTGAACTGAATGGAAGTAAAGTATGTAATCGAATTTGCGAAATCGACCTAATTACTCAGGAAACTCCTAAGCGAAGGGGATAAACTTGAATACATCTCGATTCAATTGTTGATTTCTTCCTTTTTAATTCATCACATGCTTCATCGACTATGATATAAAAGTTTTATTCTTCAATTTTATTCTGAATAGGTTTTTGTGCCCGAGATAAAAAAAAAAAACAAAGAATAATATCATGTTCGATTCCCGGAGAAACATGAAATTCTCTGAAACGTTATTCAAAACAGTAGAAATCTATCCATTATAGGAAGTCAATACATTTATTAATTTAAAAAAGTTATCGCAATTAGTCAAATCTTATGTTTTATCACTTCACAACTACTATAGAGGTTTTGAGTTAAAATCCATTTCGTGCAACTTATCGAAAAGTTTGTATCTCAAATCATATTTTGAGAGATCCTCAAATTATGATAGCTTTTTATGTCCTTGTGGATAAGTACACGTCTTTCCTGGCATAAAAATGGAAATCACAATTAGATCATTATTAACTTTTTTCCAGTATAGAAAACAATCGTAACAACTTTTGATCTAATGCGTCTAAGATTTAGTGCTCAACGTATATAAACCCCTTAAAACTAAATAATTTTGTAGAACTCGAAAGAAATCTGTATTGGTGAAAACAAACTTGATAGTCTTTTGTGTCACTTATTTCTGGTGATTACTCTTTGAGTGAGATCAACGAGTGCCAGCCTCGACTTCATTACATCTTCATCATCACTTTGGGGAAGTGAATCAATGGCTGCTGCAGCTTGGTTTGCATGCTTCATGGCTAATTCCTTGGTCCTTTCTATTCCCCTACTCTTCCCTAGATACTCCAGTGCCTGTATTCGATACAAGACTCGGTAATTTCGAACACGACACAGACATTGTTTTGAGTAGAATCACCTTAGATTGAAATGCTAGGCTAAAACACTCGAAAGAATAGGGAACAAAGTGACCATTTATGCAGAAATTGGGGGTTAATTTTGTCATGTGCAGGGAAAAAAAAACTAGCAAAGTTTCGGATCTCAAATGCCTCCGGGGACATTTAACAATGGAGTTATAACAGAATAGAATTAGAAATTGCAAACAAAACTAAGTAAATATAAGCTTACTATGTCAACATTTGCAGGGTTGTCAAATCCCTTGTCAACAACTGCACGCAATTGAGGAAATTCTTCCATGGCAAACAGGATTGGAGCAGTTATGATTCCCTGCAACAGTTTTTTACAAGACAACATTACATCATTTTATTAATCTTTGAAAAACATTTCTTTCGAAAATACAGTCTTGTTAACATTCAATAAGTACCCTTCAGTTTTCTGCCATGGCTAAGATTCATAAATGAGTTCAAAGAGGCTCAACTGATGAATACAAGCATATCTTTGGCATGATGCCACCAATAATGACTTATATAACATGCCTCCATAGACCATTAGACGGGCATTAAGATTCATGTATGAGTTTGAAGAGCATAAGCTCAACCCATTGCCACAAGGCTAGAGACATAGGGAAGGTTTAGAAGTTTTAAACCAAGTATTTCGAACTTAGATTGCTTAACAGTTAAAGATCTTGAAGTGTGGTTAGAAGGTTTGTCCAGATTTCCAGTGGATTTATCTTTCCATCAATTCTAACACTTAAATTTTTTGTTTGAAAAAAAGAAGATGCAAGCATGGGGATATAAAACATCAAGGTTGATGAATTACGTGTCGGATATCAGACAAAGAACCCTTTCCAAGGGATGCTGATGTGCCTGTGAAATCAAGAACATCATCTATCAATTGAAATGCTAATCCCTGCAGAAAAGAAAAGAAGCAGATGGTGAGACTAAAGACATGTAGATACTGTCAGATGGCATGGCATAGAAATAGCATGACTTGATGTCCAGTAGTTCTAGTATTCTACTCTAAAGTACTTAAAAGTTCCTGTCAGTTAATTACTGGATATCAACATGGCAAACCATGGTTTTAAAAGCATGCAACTACCTTTTTACATAAGCACCATGTTCTAAGGCTGAGGTAGACCATAAACTGAAAATACTATGCAAAGCGTGTTGTGTGAACAGAGTTCTATTTTTGTATCTTCATAATAAACTTTTGCATAATTTTCCAGTGACTACTGCATGAAGCAAAAAAAAACAATATGATACCGAAGATCCATTTAGCAATCTTCAGTCTCTACAATATCACACATACATGATAATTGGTGTTACAAGTCAACAGCTCGAAGTTCTCCTGGATAATATTTGGTAAAATGCAGCATAATCTCAAAATGGTTCCCACTAGAAACGTAAGGATTTTTTTCTTTGGGGCCAAGAAAAAATTTGTGGAATTTACAAACCAGATTTTTTCCATACTCAAAAGCCAACTTTGCAACTTCTGCCGAGTGCCCAGCAAGAATGGCAACTGACTTGCAGCTGTTTGACATCAGGGAAGCAGTCTTGTTGTATGTCTTTTGCATGTAATACTCCATGCTGCATTTACCAAAAAGGAAAAGAAAAGAGATTGAGAGAGAGTACATAATTAAAGGTACAATCCTGAGTCTGTTAGTGACACCAGCAATGTCAGCCCTTGTCATGGATATGCAATCAGATGGAGACAAATGTTAAGAAAAAGAAAAAAAGAAAAGAACAAGAAATCAGCACGTGTAATGAATTACGGGGTGTAAACAGGCATACTTGCAAAATACTTGAAATGCATTTTCAAGCTTGATTAGCTAGCAATCAAGAATTGTAATTCTCACGAGTTGCCATCTTAATCAAACTTTAAATATTGCAATTATATTTTCACTTTACAATGATTAACGAAAATTAATATGCATACACAAAGACACGCATACATTTATGAATGGATGTAGTACTATAGTATTTTGTTCGTCTTTAAAATATTTAACTTACTAGAAAAAGAAACTGCAATTCTTCATCCCTTCAGACAACACTCAACTGCATAGCAGTAGCCATTTTCTATCTTAATTTCTTCCCATTTTCATCCCGTTTTCCAAAATTAATACTGTTGGATAGATTTAATAGCAGCTGATTGAGAAGGGTGTTCAGTAAAGACACAAACTGCAATTATCCAGCTATGTGCCTATGTCTTTTCCTTTTAGTCTGTGCTATGATTTCTTTCATAGCAAAGGTGTTTTTATGGCTCAAGCGGATAACTTGGATTAACAGGCCTGACATGCATATTGCTCAACATCAAATATCTGTTATATTAGAAAAATTAAAGCACTAAAATAGTTAAAAGGCTGAAGATAACATCAAGCCTTCATTACTTCCAGATGTAGAATGAACAAATTACCTGTATTCAACAGTATTAATGCTATGATGACCATGCTCAGCATTAAGCAGAAGAAGAAGCAAAAAAAATCATTACATATTCCAGGGTGGAAATTGTCCAATATGAACAAACTTTCATCATAGGACTTTTAATGTCTATTCTCGTATATCAAAATGCAAGTTAGAAATGGAAAAAAAATGAGAACGTAGCAAAACGGTATACCTAAAACGTTTAGTAGAAGCAGTTGTAAGTTGCATGGTTTCCCCGGTAACAAGATTCTCGACAACTGTTGCAATTAAGGTAACAACCTATATACACCCAAAGGCCACAGATCCCCAATAGAAATTTAGAAAGCATGTAATACAGGCGACAGTCTGCATTGTTAGTCTAATATATAATCACACCTCCTGACTCACCCACACAAACATCCACAAGATCAAAAACGTTTAAAAAAGGTACCTCTGTATTTTTTAAAGAAGCAAGGGTCAAGCAAGCTCGTGAAAGCAGGAAATCTCCAGCTAAGACAGCTAACTGCATTACAAACATAAATTCTTATGGAACAATTGGTTACAATCCTCTATTGGCTCTGTTCTTTAGCTAGGTGAAAGAACCATAAATGGCTAGAGTGGCATAAATTAAGAACCTACTTTTACCAAGCGGAAAAATAAGAGGAGTCTCAAAACAACAATGAGAAGTTGTAGAACCTTATTTCAAGGGAACAAGAAGACTAACCTTATTGCCCATTACAGCATTTAATGAACCAACACCGCGTCTTGTGTCTGCATCATCCAAGACATCATCATGAAGGAGGCTTGCCACCTGATTCAAGTGCATGGCCAAGTTAGTCTAGAAGAAACTCTGAAAAAGTTACTTGACGGCCAGCCAAGTATCTGCTGATGTAAAATTGAAGGCAAAGGGGACATAAATATTTAACTAACGTGGATCATCTCCGTGATCTCAGCTATACGCTGCTGCCTTGTACGCAAATCAGTTGGCAAATTATCTCCAACTCCAGCAGGAGGTAGTTCAGGTATACGCACATTCAAAGCTGTCGCCATTAAAAGTAAAACCTACATAGAACAACTAAAATAGCCATTTGTAAAGTAACCATAATCTGAAATTTAAGGTTAAGAACTTAGAACTTGAAACTGAAAAAACAGAGAGATAACCATGTTGGAAGACTGCTTTGCTAAAGTGGCACATCTAAAGTGCGCAATGTTGTTCACGTTATTTGCATTAGACAAGTTCCAAAAAGCAAGGTGTGACCAAAGACTGGTTTCAAGGTTACTTAGATCACAACTTATGCAAAATAATAGAAAACTATTTTATCATCTTGTTCATCACACCCAAAAATAACTACAGTCAAAGAAAATACGGCAACTTTTAGAATTAGCCTGGAGTCACCACTGTTATTACCGTGGGACGAAACCTTTTTCCTTCAGCCCCAATTTTGAAGAAGTACTCCGCTGCTGAAGCAAGATTAGGAACCTGTAGGAAATGGATATCTAGCTATTATCACAAGAGATCAAGTTCCTATACCTTTTGAAACCAGAAAAAGTAAACTAACAAAACTCAGTTAGAAGACCTGAGAAAAAACATTTACATACTTCAGCAGCTACCATTGACCGCAGCCTGGTAGCAATAAGTGATAGTTCATCGGCAACAATTGAAAATGGGTCAAGTCGTTCCTGGAAAATGTCCCACTATTTCAATAAAGTGCTAAATCAAAACTAGGTAGAAAGGAGAAGCAACAAAGTAGTTTTTCCTGGATAAGTTTAAAATATGTAACACGTTGTGTGCAACAACAATTAAAAATAAGGGGTGTGCCAAAGGAGCTCTACAATGGCGTAAGCATTTTTCTTCAACTGCTGGTTTCTGAATCAAGTCTGAACTGTCATGGACAAACATTCTAGAATGCTTTATAACTTAGGATCTTATAAAATAAAGAGTATACCAGGATGTGTTTGATGCATTTCTTCAGCCTAAAGTGCATCAAATGCCTATGGGAATATTAATTTGAAAATTAAGAAAAAGTGTCTAGGATTGAAGCAGTAGTTACAATTACAACGATGATTGAACACCTAGGAGACTTCCATAATTTCTATTGAGTAATCTCCCAAAGACAAGAAATTCATGTTAGCAAATGAGAGAGCCTTGAGGCCACCACAAGCAATTTTTCCTCTTATCTTAGGAGCCATATGAGCCCCAATATTTAACTATTGTAAGAGCGACAATTTCTCATCTTAGGAAAAACCTACCTCTCTCTTTTAGAAATAGCATCTTTTAAAAGCAGATAGCCTCTTTTTGTTTACACTCTCCCAAAAGCAAATAAAGAGTTCAATCTGGGACATTTTGTGACACTTATAGATATGCTAATCTGAATTTCAAGGGACACCGAACATATTAATGCCTTAAAACTGTTTTACTATGATACAGAAATAATGAAAAACTACCAGACAATCTGAAAATAATAATCATTGGTGAAACTGAAATCCTATACAGCAATACCCCTCTTTTCATAACCACAAAAGGAAAGTACAAGGTTGAAAAAGCTGATAACAGTATACAATTTAGATATAGTAATGGGAACCACCTATGGCTTGGGTGTTAATTCAAGTAATTCCCCTGATCACTACAGACACAGATAATGTCAGGTTATAAATACTTGTGATTATGAACTTCAGTTGGGAATCAAAATCAGAAGTTGTTGCCTCCCTCTCTGTCTTCTTTTACTATTTTCACTCTTGATATAATCACTCTCTTCTTGTGATGCATAAGAAAGACCAGTGAACACCCACATTATCTTTTTGAAATATTATATGGAAAAACATGAACAACTTCGAATGACATTAATAATCACCGGGGATGGACCGAAGGGGGAGGATGGGGGCAGTCGCCCCCCGAAATTTTTAAATTCTCTTATATTTTAGATTTTTCATGTGTATATTTTATTGATAATCTGTTTTCACCTCTTAAAATTTTATAAGTTCGCTCACTCGTAAAATTTTATAAATTCATCCCCTAACATAAAATTCTGCATTCGTCACTGATAATTACCAACAAGCAGTAACTTCCATTGATCATTCAATATACTTACCTTTCCTTCCATGAATGCAAGGCTTGAATCCGTATTCGCCAAATCGTTACCGATAACATCATTTACAGCAGCTCTTGAGCTGAGCAAACAAACAACATCAATGGTCAAAACAAATCAATTTAAAACCTATTCACAGAAATAAAAGACAATGAGCCAATAAATAAATGAATAAATAAACCACAAAACCTAAACCTGAAATGTCTGCAAAATCCTGCCCACTTAATCCCGGCAGCTGGCGTCCTACTATACCCACTACTCATAAGCTGCTTGTATAAATAATTAAAAATGAAATACGGATCAATCAAACGACTCATGAAACAATAAAAAAAAAGAAAAAAGGAAGGCATAAAAAACTTGCGCATCTAAAGGCGGGGAGAGGTTCTGCAGCGACGGCGGCGGTGCGGTGTCTTAACAAATGAAGAAGAGCTGCCCTAGCCATGTCAATGAAAGGATCGGAGTTTCTCTAGGGTTTTAGCGAGTGGAAGCAATTAAACGAAGATTTGCAGATGGTCTGTTCAAGGTTTCGGCGGCTCCAACTTTCTCTGATTCAAACGGTAGTTTGTTCTGTTTGACTTAATATAGGGTCATTCTTGCTTGTCTTGTCATTTTATTTTCGTATATTGAAAGGGTAAACTACACTTAATAAGGTCTTTTTTGGGCTATTTTCCCGATATCACCGGTGATCGATATTATGACTGATCTAATATCGATTAGATTATATTTTTTGATCTAACATCCCTAGCAGAAAAGCGTGCCCCTGCATCGCGTTATATACTGATTTGGCGCCACGTGGGTATAGCGCGCCCCCTGTCCCGCGATATACGATGATCTGACGTCACGTGGGTATAGTGCGCCCCCTGATCCGCGCTATACATGGATATCTGACACGTGGGGTATAGCGCGGTGCAGGGGGTGCGCTATACCCCTAATTACCAACCTTTCACGTCTCCATCCTCCCTATAAATACCCCCATCCTCAATCACTTTTATCACACCAAATTCTCTCAAATTCTCTAAATTTCTCTCAAATACTCTCTTTTTAAGGTATATTTTATAATATTCTTACTATTATATTTTTAATATTTTACTAATATAATTCTTTTGTAGATATGTAATGGAAGACAGTCTACTTCGCTCGGATGAAAATCATATATCTCTACACTTTGTTGATACGGTAACATTTTAACGTTTTAATTTAATTTAAATTATTAGTAATATTTAGTTGATTTATTATATGCATGATTATTAGATTAAGAATTAAATATCTCGATACTTTGCTGATACGATAACATTTTAACGTTTTAATTTAATTTAAATTATTAGTAATAATTAGTTGATTCATTTAATGCATGATTATTAGATTAAGAATTAATTTTTATAATTAATTATTTTTAGGAGAATGACCGTGTATTAGATCCTTTTATTAGGAATCTTAAGTTAGTGATACCCAGCTGTGTCTTACCGTATTTAGTAGAGGCTAGATTCGGTTACATAGGTAGATATCAGAGTCACTGTAAAATAGAGTCAGACCTGATTTCTGCCTTAGTAGAGAGGTGGAGGCCGGAGACCCACACATTCCATCTTCCGTGCGGAGAGTGCACGATCACGCTTGAGGATATTTCTATGCACCTGGGGCTTTCGGTGGATGGAGATGTGATATCGGGGATAGTTTACGGTTCTTGGACTACTTTGTGTCGGGATAGTCTAGGACGTGTCCCGAAAAATTTTATCGGAGGTAGGATACCGTTAAATTGGTTAGATGCCAATTTTCAGGAGTTGAGCGCAGACGCCTCTGAGGATGAGGTTAAGATGTATGCAAGGGCATGCATACTGCAGTTGATAGGAGGGTTGCTGATGCCGGACAAATCGTGCAACCTAGTTCACTGCATGTGGTTGCGATATCTTAGCGACTTTCGTCTCGCCGGATCATTCAGTTGGGGCTCGGCAGTTTTGGCTTTGCTGTACAGGGAGATGTGTGGAGCCACTGACTACAGACGTAATGCTATCGGCGGATGTCTCATGCTGCTGCAGTCTTGGGCATGGTATCGATTGCCCTTTTTATGTCCTGTTGTGAAGAACCCATTCGTATTTCCACTACTTCTGAGGTAATTATAAAACTGATTTTGTATATTAATAATTTTATACAGCGTATAACAATTTTTTTCCTTGAATAGGTGGTCTACTGATAGGAAAAATCATCAGGAGCTACCTGATGATTTAGAAAAAAATAGGGTGCTAATCGATCAGAAGGCTAGCACACAGGTATGAATTTTAATATTTAAAAAACGATTTTAGATTATAGTTATATAATTAGATTATTATTTTGATAAAAATTATATATTATTTGTTTTAGTTTGAATGGGTGCCATATTCTACTGATGATGTGAGGGCGGTGATCCCACCTGAGTTGAGCAGTACATCAGATGTTTGGAGGACGATGGTCCCTCTGATCTGTTATGCGACCGTCGAGTGGCACTCCACTGATCGCGTGCTCCGGCAGTTTGGTTGTTTTCAACCAATTCTGGAAGCACCTCGCAATATGGACGAGTTGTATAGCTTAGATAGACGCGGTAAGACAGATACAGATTGGCTGGTGAGGCATCATGGGTGGGTCGTGTTGTGGGAGGATCGACATCGGCGCCTTCCCCGTAGAGAGCCCATTTTTGATGACCTTTTGATGTATGCTGAGGATTATTATGAGTGGTTCAACAGTAACGGGAAACCGTTTCTACTACCCGAGGATACACGAGGGCAGACTTTTCCACGACGTCGACATAGACGTTCACCGACACAGCACCATCGTCCCCCGACTCATGGACGGAGAGCAAGTGTTTTCGGTTCATCCTCAGCTGCACCAGCATGACCTTTCCAGCAGCCACCGTAGCCATATATGATGCCGCAGCCATATATGATGCCACAGCCATATATAATGCCGCCATCGCTTTTTCATTACCAGATGCCGCCACTGCCTTCACCTGGTTTTATGACCCCGCCACTGCCACAGTCACAGATGACCCCTCCTGGAGGCTATTATGGGTCTATGTTTGCAGATCTGACTTGGGGTTCATATGTTGGATATTTGGCGGGTTCATCCTCATCACCCATGACCGCAACACAGACACCTCCTGTACAATTTTCACACTCAGCGATGTCTGGGCTTTCCCAGTTTTCCCAGTTTTCGTATGCCGGTGGGATAGTCAGTCATACACCTCCAGGGTCCTTATTCTATGGAGGTGCTTCATCGTCATCAGCTCCTCATCAACCTGATGTACCTGCTCAGGACGACGACAATGACGATGGTGACGACGATGGTGACGACGACGATGACAGCGAGGAGTCAGAACCAGTGATACGAAGAAATTCTCCTCGAGACCGATAGCCACCGCCATGCGGAACACATTCACGACGCAGGCACCGATAGATTTTTTTTATTATATTTGTATTTACTTTATTTTGTTTAATTGTAATTTTTTATTATTTCTCATTTAATACTTACTTTATTTTGTTAAATTTGTTGGACTTTTTTTTTAATATATTTTAGTTAATTTTGTTTATTACCATTTAATATCAGTTATTGTAATTTGGTTATCATTTACCATTTAATTCTTATTGTAAGTTTGTTGTATTTAAATATCAAATTGTTATTAGTTTGATAAAATTTAATAATAGTGTTCGTTTTTTTAATCTTCATCAGCGATTATTGAATGACATTAACTTGAAGTAAATGCAAATTAAAATACAAGAATTATTATTTGATAAACAAATACATCATTTCCTCATCAATTGTTACTTAATGATAACAGAAGTGGACATGTTTTTCTAGTGTGTCCTGGGTTTCTACAATGGCCACATCTTCTGTCTTGTCTAGATCTTTCTCAAATATCCATATCGCAATGAATTCGATTGGATTTTGGAAGACCACGGTCCCTCAATAAACTCGGATTTGGTACAATCGGAAGCTAATCTTGAACCTCATCAGGGTCTTTGTCATTACCTATAGGGGGAAACTCAAATTCGTATACCTTAAAAACTTCAGATAATAGGTATACGGGATCCACAAAATGGTTATAGTCTTGACGTGTATGCGAGCAAGATGCTATCACATGAGAGCATGGATACTTGAGAGCTTGAAAAAACCCGCAGTCACACGCTCTGTCCCTTAGATTTACTCTTAACGACACAGCTTCAATCCCTTGAAGAGGTCGGGGCAACTCTGTGACATGAAACATTTCATGCCTTCTAGAGAAGCTTGTTACAGACATTCCATTTGATGCAACAATTTTTTTCTGTAGATCTGCAACTAATCTAGGGTGATAGACATGACCGCCTTGC